TGTGTGTGTGTGTTTAAATAACTACTACGACCAGTCTTCCCTCTAAGCTGAGTTGGTGTGAGCTAGCTCACAGTTTTTTAGCCTCCGGCTCACACATTTTTGTCTCAGCTCAGGGAGGATGCGGCTCCAGAGCAAACTAATTGATGCAACAGCCAAATCGCTGGCTCACAACTTTCATGCCAGCAGCTCACAAAGTAGATTTTTTCCTACGACCAGTGTTCCCTCTAAGCTGAGTTGGTGTGAGCTAGCTCACAGTTGTTTAGCCTCCGGCTCACACATTTTTGTCTCCGCTCAGGAAGGATACGGCTCCAGAGCAAACTAATTGATGCAGCAGCCAAATCGCTCGCTCACAACTTTCATGCCAGTCGCTCACAAAGTAGAATTTTTCCTAACAAGCAGTGTTCCCTCTAAGCTGAGTTGGTGTGAGCTAGCTCACAGTTTTTTAGCCTCCGGCTCACACATTTTTGTCCTAGCTCAGGGAGGAGGGCTCCAGAGCAAACTGATTGATGCAGTAGCCTAACCGCTTGCTCACAACTTTAATGCCAGTCGCTCACAAAGTAGAATTTTTGCTCACAAGCAGTGTTCTCTTTAAGCTGAGTTCATGTGAGCTAGCTCACAGTTTTTTAGCCTCCTGCTCACAGCTTTTTGTCTTAGGTCAGGAAGGAGGGCTCCAGACCAAACCAATTTATGTAGTAGCCAAATTGCTCGCTCACAACTTTAATCCCAGTAGCTCACAAAGTAGAATTTTTGCTCACAAGACTCCACAGCTTAGAGGGAACATTGATCATGACCACTGGCTATTAGCCACAACGATTTATGGAACCTCCATGGTCAGAGGCAGAAAAGCCTGTGGGAAGGGACGACGACGGGAAGAGACTTCAACCTCAGTGTTCGGCTTGAACATAAGAACATCACAAGAGCCCTGCTGGACCAGACCAGGGAGGGTCCCTCTAGTCCACCATCCTGTCTCACACAGGGGCCAGCCGGTTCCTCTGGAGGGCCAGCAACAGGGCAGAGAGGCCGAGGCCTTCCCCTGAGAAGAACCTCAGAAGAGCCCTGCTGGGTCAGACCAGGGAGGGTCCATCCAGTCCAGCATCCTGTCTCACACAGTGGCCAGCCAGTTCCTCTGGAGGGCCAGCAACAGGGCAGAGAGGCCGAGGCCTTCCCCTGAGAAGAACCTCAGAAGAGCCCTGCTGGGTCAGACCAGGGAGGGTCCATCCAGTCCAGCATCCTGTCTCACACAGTGGCCAGCCAGTTCCTCTGGAGGGCCAGCAACAGGGCAGAGAGGCCGAGGCCTTCCCCTGAGAAGAACCTCAGAAGAGCCCTGCTGGGTCAGACCAGGGAGGGTCCATCCAGTCCAGCATCCTGTCTCACACAGTGGCCAGCCAGTTCCTCTGGAGGGCCAGCAACAGGGCAGAGAGGCCGAGGCCTTCCCCTGAGAAGAACCTCAGAAGAGCCCTGCTGGGTCAGACCAGGGAGGGTCCATCCAGTCCAGCATCCTGTCTCACACAGTGGCCAGCCAGTTCCTCTGGAGGGCCAACAGCAGGGCAGAGAGGCCGAGGTCTTCCCCAATAAGAACCTCAGAAGAGCCCCGCTTGGGGGGGTGGACGACAACAGACGGACACATCACCTGTAACAGAGAATGAAGAGAGCTCTTTGAGAGCTCTCTCAGCCCCGCCTACCTCACAGGGTGTCTGTTGTGGGGAGAGGAAGGGAAAGAAGTTTGTAAGCCGCTCTGAGACACCTTTGGGTAGTGAAGGGCGGGGTATAAATCCAATCTCCTCGTCTTCATCATCAGAGGCCGAAAAATCGCCAGCCTCCATCGGCAAGCGATTCCTGGTTTAGTCTCTACCCGGTAAAGTTCTCCTGCTCTAAGATGCGAGTCCCGTGAAGTCTTCTGCCCAAATAGGTGTGTTCTCAAGGCACCACAAGACTCTCACAAACGGTTCATGTGCCTTCATTGGGCTACGGACAGTGCTTTTTTTTTTCAGGGGCAAGGAAATTACGGCTCCCACGCGCTTCCAGGGACGTCCCCGTGAGCCTGGGGAAAGCACAGCCCTGGGCAGAACGCAGACGTTGGGTTCCACCCTCTGTTGGGGACGAACGGATCGTTCCCCGTACGCAATGCGAAGAGGGCAGGTTGACACGGCTCCTCCTTTACCCATCAAACACCAAGACGTGTCCAGCTGTGTGAACCGGAGAGGTACGTTTCTGCATTCACATCCTTTCCCATATCTAACAGGAGACCTGGTTTACAGGAAGAGACCTGGTTTACAGGAGGGGAAAACAAACGTGACCCAAAGACTGGAATCAAGAACCACATGGGTAAGAAAGAAGAAGGGATGCTTATCAAATCTGCAGATGACACGAAGCTGGGTGGGATGGCTAATCCCGAAGAAGACAGAGTCAGGATTCAAAATGATCTAGTTAGGCTGGAACAGTGGGCGGAGACAAATAAAACGAATTTCAACAGAGAGAAGTGCAAAGTCCTACACTTAGGTACAAAAAGTCAAAGGCACAGATATAGAATGGGAGGGCCTTGGCTTGACAGTAGCACATGTGAAAGGGATCTGGGTGTTCTGGTTGATCACAAGCTAAAAATGAGCCTGCAGTGCGATGTGACTGCGAAGAAAGCGAATGCAATTTTAGAATGCATTAACAGAAGCATTGTGTCCAGATTATGGGAGGTGGTAGTTCCACTCTATTCTGCTACGGTCAGGCCTCACCTGGAGTCCTGTGTCCAGTTTTGGGCAACACGTTTTAGGAAGGATGTTGACAAGCTCGAGCGTGTCCAGAAGAGGGCAACCAGGATGGCGAGAGGGTTGGAATCCAAGTCTTACGAGGAAAGGCTGAAAGAGCTGGGTATGTTTAGCCTGGGAAAGAGAAGGCTTAGAGGGGACGTGATTGCAGTCTTCAAATATTTGAAGGGCCGTCATGTAGAAGATGGAGCAGATCTATTGTCTCTTGCTCCAGATTGCAAGACTAGATCTAATGGGTGGAAATTACAAGGGAGTCGTTACCGGCTAAATATCAGGAGAAACTTCCTAACTGTAAGAGTGGCTGAGCAGTGGAACAGTCTGCCTCGGAAGGGGGTGGAGGCTCCTTCGCTGGACGTTTTCAAGCAGAGGCTGGATGACTGTCTTTCAGGTATGTTGTAGGCATGTAGGGCTATCTTTCACTAATGCTCCTGCAGAGTGCAGAGGGGGTTGGACTAGATGACCTGCAAAGGTCCCTTCCAACTCTAACATTCTATGATTCTAAGTCAAACAAAGGGCCAATATTAAAAACTAAGTTAAAACTTATAATATACAAAAATACATGTATTTATTAGAAAGACAGTTAAAAACAAATGAGGGCCCAAGGAAAGCGTCGTTAAAAAAAAGTATAGGTAGCCTAAACACAAGGGCAGCCTATTGGGGCCTTCTTCAGAGGTCAAATGTTGAGGCGCACGTAACTTTAATTCATATCACAATAAGATTAACCAATAAGTGAATATTGGACCAAGAAAAGGAAGGTTAAGTAGCAAGATCGAAAGACACAAGAAAGATGTTTGTGAGGCCTCAAAAGATGAAAGTTATGTGTCCGGTGCCAAATGCAGTTGCTGAATTAGAACATCTTCCAGTTTAGGTCCAAAAAGCACCTGTGCAGCTATCTAAGTCAGAGCTAGAGTGTCCTTAAGCAAACAGCAGTTAAAGTAAAGGTTCCCTTGCTCGAAAGCCAGTCGAGTCCGACACTAGGGTTGCGGTGCTCATCTCCATTTCAAAGCCGAAGAGCCAGCGCTGTCCGAAGACGTTTCCGCGGTCATGTGGCCGGCATGACTAAACACCAAGGCGCACGGAATGCTGTTCCCTTCCCACCGAAGTGGTACTTATTTATCTACTTGCAATGTCTTGCTTTCGAACTGCTAGGTTGGCAGGAGCTGGGACTAGAGACGGGAGCTCACTCCATCTTGCGGCACCCGGGTCTCGAACTGCTGAACTACTGACCTTCCACAGCCTGCAGCTCAGCGTCTTAACCACTTGAGCCACCGCGGCTTTAAACAGCAGTTACGTGTACCTCAATATTGTTTGAGCTCTGAAGAAGGCCCCAATAGGGCGGAAACGCATCAGGTCGTGCGTATTGGCCCTCGTGTTTCGGCCACCTTTACTTGTTTACGAGGCTTTCATTGGCCCCTTATTTGTTTTTAGCTGTCTTTCTAATAAATACACGTATTTTTTGCATGTTATACGCAACAACAACGAACGACAAATTTATTCACAGCAAAAAGCCAGCACTCTAATACAACGAACTAACTCAAACTAAATTCATACAACCACAAGCATAAATGAAATATAATAAAAGGAATACCAAATAGAGCATGCATGTAAAACCTGTTAAGTCCTGTAACAAATTACATCTATTCATCTTTCACTAGGAGCTTTCTAGTCCTTACAGCTGACCAGCCAAATCTGGCAAGTTTAGTAACCTTGGGGCACCTGCTTTCTAGGAGGTTCTTCAGCAATTGCATCTTTCGACTAGTTGAGGATAGAGTAGTTGTAGACAGTGGGAGAATATCATGCGAGGGGCTGTATGCCCTGCAGTCATATATAACATGCATTAAGAACATAAGAGACGCCAATGTTGGATCAGGCCAAAGGCCCATCCAGTCCAACACTCTGTATCACACAGTGGCCAGAAATACCAGGTGCCATCCGGAGGTCCAGCAGTGGGGCCAGGACACTAGAAGCCCTCCCACTGTTGACCCCCCCCCCAAGCACCAAGAAGACAGAGCATCACTTGCCCCAGAGCCCTTATCTATACCTTGTGGCTAATAGCTTCAATTCCTTATTTGTTTTTAACTTTCTTTCTAAGAAATACACGTATTTTTTGTATGTTATAAGTTTCAACTTCGTTTTTAATACTGGCCCTTTATCTGACTTCTTTCTTGACCTGGTTCGGCAGGCCAAACTCACTGCCGTGGACATTTCTTTTAAAAAGAACACCCAATCGGTGCGCGCTCTGGGCTTAGAAACAGCTCAACGGAATGTCTTGTTTTATTATTTCTCTCTGAAAGCGGTTATACGCCCAAGCGGGTGCAGACATTTAACCTCTCCCCCACCCCCCCAACATAGCAGTTATCGGCAGTGACGACAGAGCGCTCCCTTTGTCTAACTCAAAAGCTGGCTTCTCCCGGAGTCAACGGAAGCGCCCGCCTTTTCGGATTTCCCGTTCTAGGGAGCTGATCTACCAGTGACCGGTTTCTCTCTTATAAAACACGTACAGAAACACGTAAAGAAGTTATAGGCACAGTTAAGTTTCCTGACGGGGCATTCTGTCCCTTTCCTCCTCCTCTGTGCTGGTGCAAAGAGCTTGACCTCAAACGGGACAACGGAGAACTGGACGTTCGCGAAAGGCCGGTTTCAAGTTAACATTTAGTCGTCAGAGTCCGTGTCGTGCCTCCTCCTGGCCCTATGGGCCGTGGGGGACTCGCCGCTTCTCTTTTTGTGACGCCCTGAACCCCTGCTCCTGGGAGACCCGGACAGCCTGTCCCTCCTGTCCCTCAAATCGGCCTGTCCCTTCCTCCCCGGCTCGGGAGAGCGTGTCCTTGTCGATGGCCGGCCGCAGGGGGTCCCTTCCTTCCCGCGCCCGGGGGAGGCAGGACTTTGGCGCCACCTGCTGGGCGGTTTCTGTTCTCCTCGGGAGGGTGATGAATGGCTGTCAGGGCGGCTGGCTCCAGCCTGCTGGGACGATGATGGATGGCGCTTGGCAGGGGAGGCCGGCGGCCTTTGTCTGCAGGGGAAAAAACACACAAGAGGCGGCCCGGTCAGATCCTCGGGTGTTCTTGGCCCGGGAAGGAGTCAAGCAGGGTGAGAGCGGCAGCAAGAGACCTGCAGGCGCTGTCACAGTGCCGTAAGGGGGGGGGGCTGGGGCTGCATTCTGCTTCCAAAAGCCGGAGAGGTTTCCCCCACCCCCCGCCCCCAGTCGGCTCATTCGTCCCAGCCACTTGCACTAAGGCGAAATATCCCCCAACTCGTGGCTGCAAGGAAAGGCCCAGTGGTGGCGAACCTATGGCACGGGTGCCAGAGGTGGCACTCAGAGCCCTCTCTCTGGGCACGCGTGCCATCGCCCCAGCCAGGCCCAGACCATCATTAAAGTGTCGAATTCTCTGCCAAATAATTTTAAGTCAATGAAAGCATTTGGGATTGCTTTCCTTACTTTGTTTGGATCATCTTAAGTTAATGTGTGAGTTGGATTTTTCTAAAGTAAAACCTCAGCATTCAGGTTAAATTGCCATATTGGCACTTTGCGATAAAGAAGTGTGTTTTGGGTCGCCGTTTGGGCACTCGGTCTCTAAAAAGTTCGCCATCACTGCACTCTGGTGGGAGAGCTTGGGAAATGCAGCCACATATGTACACCCCTCTCCAGTGTTTTCAGGCCTCCTGTTTAGTTGAGATTTCGCTTCTAAACACATACGAAGCCACCGTACCCCAAAGTCCCTTGGTCTATCAAGGCCAGTGTTACCTGCTCTGACCAGAAGCTGCTCTCCAGGGTCTCAAGGAGAAAGAAAGGCCTTTCCCAGCACCCACTAACCTGAGATCCTTTTAAACTAAAGATGCTGGGGAGCAAACCAAAGATCTTCTGGCTTGCAAAGCATGTGCTCTTTCACTGACCCACAGCCCCACATTAATTCATTTCAAAGGGTGTGTGTGCGCGTGTGTGTTTGCAACTAATCAGATCCACGAACAGCCACAGAAATACCTTTCTCGGTCATCCGGGGAGGAGGAGGCAGAAGACGAAGCGGTTTTCTTTTTGTGGTGTTTCTCCTTCTTCTTCTCTTTCTTGTGTTTCTTCTTTTTCTTTTCCTTCTTTCTGGATTTCTTGGCGGCCTCCGGCCTGGGGGGGTTCAAAAGAGAGGAGTTGTAACGTACTCCGCAAACGCCCACAGACTCATTTTCCCTGTGCGGGCCTGGGGAGGTCAGCAGTGTTCCCTCTAAGCTGAATTAGTGTGAGCCAGCTCAGAGGTTTTTTAGCCTCCAGCTCACACATTTTTGTCTTATCTTCACTCAGGAAGGATGGCTCCAGAGCAAACTAATTTATGCAGTAGCCCAATCGCCCACTCGCAACTTTAATGCCCGTAGCTCACAAAGTAGAACTTTTGCTCACAAGATTCCACAGCTTAGAGGGAACATTACGTACTCCGCAAACGCCTACGGACTCATTTCTCTGTGCGGGCCTGGGGAGGTCGGGCTTGCGGGGGCTATGCAGGTCAGCAGTATTCCCTCTAAGCTGAATTAGTGTGAGCTAGCTCAGAGTGTTTTAGCCTCCAGCTCACACATTTTTGTCTTGGCTCAGGAAGGGTGGCTCCAGAGCAAACTAAGTTATGCAGTAGCCAGATCGCTCACTCACAACTTTAATGCCAGGAGCTCACAAGGTAGAATTTTTGCTCACAAGACTCCACAGCTTAGAGGGAGCGTTAGTCAGGGCGGCTGTGCAGATTTGTAAAAAAGTTGCTTTGGCATCAGCGGCCCCCAGAGTGCAAGGATCTTCACTGCAGAACTGAAAATGAGCTGTGTGTCTGCAAGGAGACATTTTTAAACAGTATATGCATGTTAAAAGGCATCCTTTTATTATAGCATTGGAAAAAGTGCAGAAAAGGGCAGCTAGAATGATAAAAGAGTTGGAACACTTTCCCTGTGAAGAAAGGTTAAAGCGCTTGGGGCTCTTTAGCTTGGAGAAACGACGGCTGAGGGGGTGACACGATCGAGGTTTATTAGATTATGCATGGGATAGAGCAGGCCGAGAAAGAGGTACTTTTCTCCCTTTCTCACAGTACAAGAACTCGCAGGCACTCCATGAAATTGCTGAGCAGTCGGGTTAGAACAGCGAAAATGAAGTCCTTCTTGGAATTCACTGCCACAGGAAGTGGTGGCGGCTACAAGCATAGACGGCTTCAAAAGGGAATTAGATAAGCATATGTGGCAGCGGCTACAAGCCTGGACAGCTTCAAGAGGGAATTAGAGAAACGTATGGAGCGGAGGTCCATCAGAGGCTAGTAGCCACAAGGTATAGGTAGGAACTCTCAGTCTGGGGCAAGGGATGCTCTGTCTTCTTGGTGCTGGGGGGGGGGGGGAACGAGGGGGGGGGGTT